AAATTCAAATGATTTGGCGGTTTGTCCGAATCTGAAATAACAAATTTATTATATGCCCGAATATACTAAAACTATGTTTGGGCATACATAAATGCGAACACATTCGTATATACCAAGACACACTCAAAGATGAACAAGCGGTGGCCATTTCGCCCGCCGGGGCATTCTGCGCAGGCACACTGCCATCTTTGATTATATCTTGGTATACACCAAGATGGCGGTGCCCGAGCAAACGAGCACCGCCATCTTGCTGTATACCAAGATACATTTAAATATGGCGGAGCGCAAGCACAGAACGCGCTGATGGCCGACATGGCCACCGCTCTTTCTGCATTCTCAGTGTGCGGTTTTGGATGCGGAGGCTCGTTGCCTCTGAATCCGAAACAGCAGAAAAATTGTTTTGTTTGATTAAACGAATGGAAACGTTTTTTGTTTTCATTTGTTTCGCCAGAAAACACATATTTTTTTGCAGTGCACATGCCTACTGTATAGGACACAGAAATCTTGATGGATGGGACATCCAAAGGCAATAACACGAGGGGTGGGACTCGATAACAGCCACTGGCATGCAGCACAGGAACCTACTCTTCTGCCTGCGGGACCATGCGGCAAAAATCAGCATGGGCGGATGCAGTGGCCGACCTAATAACCAAAGGGCCCTGGTGCAAGATTTTATCTTGCCCCCCCCCCCCTAGCGGTCTCTAATGTTGCAGTAGCGTGCTGGACTCTGGACCTACCTGAGACCCTGCATTCAGAGCACACCACAGATCCTGCATAGCCCACTGAGACACTCTAGATTGGGCTCTGCAGGGTCCCAGGTGGGCTGGTCATCAGGGTTCCTTTCCCTGTACCTCCTCCCAACTCTTCTTACCTGCTGCTCCTGGGGCCCGGCCTCCACCCCCTCCCCTGACACCTCTGCCATGCCACCCTTGGTACAGCTGATACCCATGTAAGGGGCTCTCCAGGCTGCCCAGACCCCTCACATGGGTACCGGCTATACCCCCCTGATGGCGGTGTTCTATCTACGTTAGAAGGTGTGACCGGTGACGTGTGACCGCCAATAGGTGAAGCATTCCAACGCTTTTTCAGCTGTTCCAGGGCAGATCGTATGTGCAGGAAAACTGATCTGCCCCGGAACAGCTGATCAGTCCTGAAATGTCACTTCTATCCGACTTTGTGACTGCGATCTCACATTCTACCCCACTCACAAAGTCGGATAGAAGTGACATTTCAGGACCGATCAGCTGTTCCAGGGAAGATCGATTCTCCTGCACATACGATTTGCGATGCTGATCTTCCCTGGAACAGCTGACAAAGCGTTGAAATTCTTCACCTATTGATGGTCACACATTCCACTGCCGAAAAACTGGGTGGGATTACGTTAAAATGTGTGACCATGTCACCAGTCACACCTTCTAACGTAGTCACAAACTTTGATAGAACAAAGGCCCTGTTTGTAATAATTTAATCAGAGAAATAGATTATAATGGGGAACATTAGAGTGTAATGTTCCCCATTATAATCCACTTTTCTAATTAAATGAAATAGCAGCACACAACCGGCCATGAATGGAAGTGGGCTACGGAGACTTCCTCGAAAGTGGAAACCATCACTCACAGGATTTTCATGCAAAACCTTATTGAAGGGTATGGCTGAGACTAATGGCCCCGGACTAGCTTCTGCAGGGAGCGGAGTTTGCCCATAGGAAGAAACACTCTGGTCCTGAGCGTGTCTATTAAAAGCCACAGAAACCACCGATATGTTCTCTCGGTGTCTGCCCCAAGATTGTCAGTTGAATCCTGATATGCTGTTTGATGTACACGTATATGTCATAAATGTATGTATACTTTCATTTCAATGTTACATTCTTTTCATTGGAAAATGTTAAAAAAACAATAAAATATTTTGAAAAGTAAAAGCCCCAGAAATTCCAAACAACAGGTGGGAATTAAAGATTGTAATATTTACTATCCACCTGAACACTCCAACATGCACAGTGTCTTATAACTGTCAATTCCAATCTGGACCATAAAGAAGGTCATCCAGATAACTTACTTTGCGAATTCCCTGAGAATGCAACAAGGCTAGTATTGGTGCCAACACTTTTGTAAAGCGGCCAGCCCAAAAGGGAGAGCCAAGAACTGAAAATGTTCCTCTCTTATCACAAAGCATAGAAAGCATTGATGAGTAGGGAAGATGGAAACATGTAGATAGGCATCTTTAATATCTATTGAAGTTAGGAAATCTCCTTCTAGAAGAGAGGGGATGACTAAACAAATGGAATCCATCCAAAATTTGCAAACTGACAGTAATTTGTTTGTCTTTAATTTCCCCATCTGGCTTTGGGGCTGTAAACAGGTTGGAAGAAAACCCCTGGAATCTTTCCAACAAAGGAACAGGAGTAATCACTCCTGCACCTAAAAGCTGACAAAGGGCATTTTAAAGCATCTCTGCTCCAGAAGGAGATTGGAGGGCATGAACCGAGATGGGGAAACAGAAGAAATGTACTACAGGTGAAACTCGAATAATTAGAATATCGTGCAAAGTTCATTTATTTCACTAATGCAACTTAAAAGGTGAAACTAATATATGAGATAGACTCATTACATGCAAAGCAAGATAATTCAAGCCGTGATTTGTTATAATTTTGATGATTATGGCTTACAGCTCATGAAAACCCCAAGAACCCCAAATCCACAACCTCAAAAAAGTAGATTATTACATGCAATCAATAAAACAAGGATTGTACATAGAACAATATCGGACCTCTGAAAAGTACAAGCATGCATATGTACTCAGTACTTGGTTTGGGCCCCTTTTGCAGCACTTACTTAAATTAACTTTGCACGATATTCTAATTATTCGAGTTTCACCTGTATATGGAGTTCTGGCTTTCTGTTTCCTAGGTAACAATTTGCTTTAGCCACCTGCCACCTTCTTAATAAAGGAATCCAAACCTTCACCAAAGAGATGCTCCCCTGCAAAGGGAATCCTCTCTGGATGCTTTTTACAGGCAGGTTACTCTAACCAGTGTTTCAGCCACAGAAGCCTAAGCATCTGGACTTACATTAGTCCCAGCCTGGATAGGTGAGGCAAAGGGGTTGATTTACTAACCTTATAAACACGCCACGAACAAGTATACACCTCTGTAGTGTGTTCCCTCCCAGCATGATCTATTGGTGGAATCTAGACACCTTTGTAGTGTGTACACAAACCAGCAGGTGTGTTGCGCATGAATTGCAAGGTGATGTTGTGTAAATTAGCTCTATGTTATGTTGCTTGCGTTGATGAATGCAGGAATGTAAATGCATGAGCTAACCATTTTTGTCTAAACTGTGAAGCAGCATTATATATGCATCATGTGCATGATTTTTCCATATATGGCATTAGTGGAAATATGCTTTTAGAGACTTTTTGGTTGATAAATACGTTTTGCTGTGTGAAAATCACACGCACCTGGTGCGTGTGTGTGTTTAGGTTAGTAAATCACCCCCAAAGCATCAACCAGAGCGTCCACACAAAGAACGTAAGGCCCCAGGAAGACAATGCAGTTTCCTTAAAACCTCCTCATCAGAATATCCCAAACCCCGGTCTCTGATCACACACTTTGTCCAAACTCCCAATGTTTGACAAGTCTGAAGCAACACTTCCTTCCACCTCCACATCTTCCTCCTCTTGTTAGGAAACAAGGAATGAGCACTGTCCTCATCTGAGTGGGATTCAGAAAGAGCCGGAAAAGGAGGACTGCACTTACAACCCCGGTGATCAGATACTTCCAAGTTAGCAAAAATATGACCCATTAACACCAACACAGAGGCCACAAAATCCTCCTTACTTAGGCAAGAGGAATGAAACCCAGTTGATAAAGAAGCAGACACAACAGAGGGTAAAACATTAAAAGGTGGATTAACAGTCAAATCTTCCACTACTGAGTCCTCACAGTGACCACTAGATAACCCACTTTGCCCACCAGCCGCTTGTGTACCAGATCCCCCTTTACCCCCAGTGACTTTTCATCTCAAATCTGTCATGAAAGGGGCCCCTTAAGCTACACACGCTACCATTCTGCCTATGCCAGTGCCCTGGAATTGTATAGGAGTCTATAGCTGGTGCAATTCGCTGCATGGTCTGTGCAAAAGTGGGCACCAAAAACTGATGCTGTCCTTGCAGGGTCTGGGTATAGCCCCTGAAGCTCTCACTGTAGGGTGGCGATATGGACGACTGCACTTAACCTGCCAGGTCGCTTGCAAACTGCAGAGCTTGATCTAACATAGTATCTTGGAGAGAGATTTAACATAGTATCTTAGAGAGAGATAGGAGTATGACCATCACCTATGGCCAGTTACCTGAAGGTACAGCTCTATAACCCATCCGTCATGATTTATGTGACCTGTACTGTAAAAACAAGAGAAAGGGTGACAACGCAACAGCCACAGCAATAGGACATGTAAAAAAGGATTCAACTTTTTTTTGATTAAAGGAACATATGCTACTACAGAGTGGGTTTAGGTGTTTGGGTTTCTACACATTTTCATGCGTTCTACCCAGCTGTTGTCATTGTGGCAATTTCTTTAGCAGTTTAGCAAGTACTCCTAAAATTGCAATTCTCAGGAGATAATGCAAATGTTTAAGCATATTTAATTTTTCATACTGCACAGCCCTTATAGATAATTATTAATAATTAAATGCAAATGATTTATCATATTAGGTGTTCTGATCTACTCCACCCAAAAAATTATGCCAACAATGACAAACATCCTAAGTGAGAGAAGACCAGCGGCAATAGTGATGCATGCTGATTAATGATAATTGATCCAAATTATAAACAGTGGCAATACTTGGCAAGCAACTGTACTGTTTGAAGTAAAAGAAAACATTAAATTTCAGGTTCTACACACCCTTAAGATCTCGTATATAAAGAATTACATTTCTTCACAAATCACTCTTTCCACTGGAGCTGCTCTTTTTTTCTTCTGGATAGGGTGCCCTTTTGCTTGAACATGTCTTACGCTCAAATGTCATCCACAAGGTCTGTAAAAGTAGGCTCTGTCTCAGGAGGCTATAGTGGAGGTGGTGGTTCTCATGGTCAGTGTGGATTTGGTGGGGATTTCAGTCAGGCAGGTGGTAACTATGGTCAGGTAGCTAGTGGATTCAGTCAGGCAGCTGGTGGATTCGGTCAGGCTGGTGGTTTTGGCTATGGAGGAGGAGAATTTTGTGGCCAAGGAGCTGGTGGAGGCTATGGCGGTGCTGGCGGAGCTGGTGGTGCTGGCGGAGCCAGTTTTGGTGGTGGTGGAGGAGGTTTTGGTGATGCTGGCTTTGGAGGTGGTGACAGCTTTCTCAGTGGCAATGAGAAACAAACAATGCAGAATCTTAACGGCCGCTTGGGTTCGTACCTGGACAAAGTCCGTCAATTAGAAGCAGCAAATGCTGAATATGAACAAAAGATTAAGGAATTCTTAGAGAAACAAAGATCTGGAGGTACCAAAGGAGAAGCAGGAAAAGACTACACCAAGTACTTTACCATCATTGCAGATCTACAAAGTAAGGTAAGTTTGTTCATTAACTAGGTACCAAATTATTGGGGTATGCACTGTAAATAATGCATTTCTTTCAAAATTTACCTTGCAATGATTATTACAGTAACAGTCAATAATACTAACAAATACACTGAGTGGCCAGATTATTATGACCACCCCATCAGTACTTTGTTGGGCCACGAGATGACTTCGTTGGGCCGCCATGTGACTCCACGAGTTGTTGAAAGGTGATGCGAGGAATCTGACACTGCACTGTTGCCCTTCTGTTGTCTTGTACCAGTCTTGCCACTCTCCAATCTGCCATAACATTGACTAGTCGCTGAAAGCCACAATTCGCAAGTTCAGACCCAGATTTTCGGCTGACAGTCCAGTCTTTAAACACTTTAACAATGAGCCCTTCTTGAACATTTAACGAATTCTGCTGTTTTGCTGATACTCGCTCCATGGCTCGCGCCAACAATTATCAAACGTTTAAAGGCTGTTAAATTGCGTTATTTACCCATATCTTCAGAAAAAAAATCACTTCTACTGTCGTGGTAAACAACCTGCTTCCCTATTTATAATGGTCTGGCCCTCTAGCAACTTCAGCGCAAAATTATAGCTAATTATAGCTAATTTGCCTACAAACGTCAGGTGGTGATAATAAACTGGCCACTCAGTGTATATGTTAAAGAGCAAGATTTTTCTCCCTTTGTCGGCTTGTGTTGTTTAAAATCATTGCGCACTCTAATAGAAAAATTTGCAGGAAAGCTGAATTATCCAGCCATTAAACATTTGAAAGCTGCCTAATACTTCTTCAAGATAGTTATGAAATAATATTTTTATAAAGTAAGCTTACAATGGACACAGTATATTGTTTTACCCCAGAGGGTATGATACATTGCGAAATTCAACTTTCTATGATATTATTACTATAACATTTTAAAGTGTTTGTTCAGCGAAAATGGTTTGGTTTAGTTTTGGATAGCGTGGGGAAGAATTAGAACCCCTGTTGAGAATTTACTGCTATCTGAAGCTCCGTTAGAGACATTAAAATGTATCTTATTTGTGTATCGCTCAGTTGTAAAACCTCAAAGGTGAAGGTCAAATCTTAAGGACATGGATTTCTTTCTTAATTTTGGATTGTCTTTGCAGAAGGAACCTTCCCTCTGTTTGATCACTTGATCCACCTTTTCTGTTCTGTAAAACACATATATTTAGTAGTATTAAGAAGTCATTAATTAGTAATCCTGTATCTATAGGTTGGACTACACACAATAGGTTGGACTTGATGGACTTATGTCTTTATTCAACCTCAAATACTATGTAACTATGTAACTAGTTAAAGTGACAGTAAACTCAGGAGTTAAATCTTAAAAATGCTTTCAAGTACCCTAACTTTTAACAAAAATGTATCTTATGTGTGTATCACTCGGTTGTAGATACTCAAATCATCTCTGAATTGGTGCTGACACTGTTCTACGTTCTTGAGGGTGGCTACTTTTGTTCCCCGTGGTCCCTGTGTGTGTTGTAAATAAGCCACCGCTTCAAGCTTGCTCGCAATCTCAATACAAATGAGTAAAATAAACTTGAAATTGTAGCCCATTACAGAAGCGACCTTGGAGTGGTGGCTACTTTACAACACACACAGAGAACGTGGAGAACAAAAGTAGTCACACTCCAGAAGGAAGGACAGTGTCAGCATCAGTTCAGAGATGATTTAAATATCTAAAGCTGAGTGATGCGCAAACAAAAGATACATTTTTGTTAATATTTAGGGTGCTAGAATGAATTTTTAAGATTTAACTCCTGAGTTTGGTGTCACTTTAAATGAGGAGCATAAAACAGTGGCTCTTCTATTTCCCCCACTCTATGTCCAATACTAAAAAAAATGACTTGACATACATTAAATTTGAAAACTAACTATGTGTTTTAAGGGGTGCTATGCTGTGTGTTTTGTAGCAAAGTGTTTACTTGAGGGATTGGACAACCAAGGTGCCAGCTGTGACACAAACTTAGATGAAAAGATCTAAAAATCGTAAGCTGACATAAGCTAAGCTAAAAATTTTAGTTAAATGCACCATTTATGCTAGCTGCCTTATCCCAAATAGTGCAGAGACTCCAGTCTGCATATTTATTTCATATTCATCTTTGTTTTACTAAAATGTCACTTTACTACAGTAACCTAATAGTCACAAAAAGAGGAAAACCCTTTTGATTGTGTTCTTGCAGTATGCTACCTTTATTAAATTAGAAAAAGTGTTATCGTGTTGGGATATTAGAATCAAAACATTAATTGATGCTCTCATTTGTTTCTTACAGATTATTGCAGCCACCAATGATAATGCCAACCTGGTCTTGCAGTCTGATAATGCCAGACTGGCAGCAGATGATTTCAAAATGAAGTGAGTTGACTTGTATGTCTGTCAGAAAGCCATTGGTTAGCACTATTGCTTAGATTAGGGGAATCAAAGTAACTGTTGATGTGGCACTGGTCCCAGAAGTGTACATGGTCTGGTCTCTAGTTTCAGGAGACATCTCTCTAAGGGGTATACACTGGGTCCCCAAAGTGATCCATGCAATGTGTAAAGAGTAAGAGCGCCACAAATAAGTGATATTCCATTACAGATTTATTGCTCTTGGCAAAAGCTTAGAAGACAGCACCCAGTGCGTTTCAGGGGATCTTAAACCCCCCTGCCTCAGGGCTTTAGCTGGCATTGATTGATGAAAGGACTGGACTGTATGAGCTAAATAAAAGCTTATGTGTCCCATGTGGGCGCCAGACTGACAGCCACTGGACATATGTATCATCTATTTGTAGCGCGCTCACTCTTTACACGTTCTTTTGATTACATAAGAGGAAGGGAAACTTTTAGGTTATGAGCCCAAACTGGCTCTGCCAATTGATTTGTGACATCTTTCGGGTTCAAGATCTTTTCGAGATAACAGAATATGGATAAAATGGGAAACTGAGCCCCCAAATAGTGTATGTGACATATGCTTTATGTAATATGGAGAATATAAATAATGAAATACCATACTTTGCAGACTTTGCTCAGTTGCATCATTACTACAAACCTTGAAGTGTGTGATTGCTGCAGATATTGTTATATATTACTATGCATACCCCCAACCAACATAGCAACAACACACTGCCCAAATTTTACCACTGACACCACAGTATTGCTGTCACTACACAAACCCAACCGTGATTTACTGAGATCTGCTCAGGTGCACTCTCTGTATTCCCCTCCTTTGAGAATATTACTGGCCATCATACATATTGGTGCCCTCTCCGAAAACATCTGGAAGTCCATTGATACAGATGCTTTTAGTCTACAATTTCATCAACATAGTCCTTAACACCCTAATCCTCCCCCCCCCCCACACCCACACACGCATTTATAACCACCTCTGCAGCTCTCTTATGTTGCTCCATCAGAGGCCATTCTTCTGGGTATGGGGGAGCATGTGACCTCCATCCAAGATGCAGAGCTCACACCTTTGCAGCCAATCACCAGGCCAAAACACTGTCAAATGATGGCTAGGGTGATGTAATTAACCATCTGAAAGCTCCCATACCATCTGACACAGAGTTGTGGGGAAGGAAGGCATAAGTTGGTCCATTTGGGGGAAGGGGGCATTTTTAAGAGACTCTGTTACTCTGACCTGAATGGGAAAAGTGATGGAATCTCTTCAAAGCTAAAGTTTAAACTAGACAAAATATGTCTACCCTGATTTCTCCATTCTCCCACACATCACGTGTTAATGGCATTTTTACATTTTTAACCCAGTGATATCATCACAGAGTCTCTGTGCTACTCCATCCAATGCAGCAGATCAAAATTGGTTGAAGGGGCCTGCAGATTTCTGAACATGGCTTCCTGAAACCATCATAGCACCTTGTCTCGGTACTCTTTTGAAGAGCTCTCAGTCCTGATGCAAGAAGTGGGCTGGCTCTTGGGAGGAGCTATGCAAATATAAAAAAATCCTCAATAGATGGATGTCCATCACAATAAGTGGACATTGTTAGTCAGACTTGCATGTAGACCACTATAGGTAACACCTACACATGATGCTGAGCCTCCCCGATTGAAAGAACTGATATTCAGTGAATTAAAGGTACAGGCCAGGTACAGTTAGGCTAGAGAGAAGAAATTATACTGGATGATAAATAACACTAGATGGTCTCCAGTCAGGAAATAAGATAGGATCTATCTGACTTCATGCAGCTTCTAATGTACACTGTGCAAAGCTCACAATGGGCAATCCGACCATGTTTTATGTTACACCCTAAATCTGGGTGTAACATGAAACGTGGTCAGAAAGGTAAACTTAGACTTTAAGACCACTGCAAGAACCTCTAATATAATAAGGTCTATTTGGGTCTAGGAACAAAGTTTCAATATGTATATTTTGTGTTCTAAAATAACCCATATATCTCTCCATTTACCTTTTCAGGTATGAGAATGAGTTTGCCCTCCGACGCAGTGTAGAAGCTGATATTAATGGCCTTCGTAAAGTCCTGGATGATTTGACAATGAAAAGATCTGATCTGGAATTGGAGTTTGAAGGTCTTACTGAAGAAATTGCTGTGCTTAGAAAGAATCATCAAGAGGTAAAATCTAAAGAGGTCTCATCCAATGCCCTCTATTTGGTTTAAAGTCTACAGGTGAAACTCGAATAATTAGAATATTGTGCAAAGTTCATTTATTTCACTAATGCAACTTAAAAGGTGAAACTAATATATGAGAAAGACTCATTACATGCAAAGCATAATAATTAAAGCCGTGATTTGTCATAATTGTGATGATTATGGCTTACAGCTCATGAAAACCCCAAATCCACAACCTCAAAAAAGTAGAATATTACATGCAATCAATAAAACAAGGATTGTACATAGAACAATATCGGACCTCTGAAAATTACAAGCATGCATATGTACTCAGTACTTGGTTTGGGCCCCTTTTGCAGCACTTACTGTAATTACTTTTGCACGATATTCTAATTATTCGAGTTTCACCTGTATATCCAGTTGCATACCCAACTGGGTTTTTTTTGTTTTGTTTGTTTTTACTGCTATCTGAGGCTCTGTTAAAGAGATTTCTATTCATTTAGTAACAGTTCCAACAGACAGGAAGTGAAACAATATCTCTAACAGCAACACAGACAGAAAAAAATGGTGCTTTGTATTAATTGAGCAGTGGAAGACTAGGACCTCCAGTCAGCTTTCTTTTTATCACTGCCAATGTTCCTGTTGCAGATTTTTTTTTCTCACTTCTTCTCTGGTGATACCTTTGTCATATGTTATGGGTTCAAATCCTTCCTCACTTCATCCAAAAAAGTTTTGGTTGGATATACACTTTGACTTTGGACTCCAGGTAGATTTTAAGTATGGTTACCATCTGTCCCTGTTTCCCCGGGACAGTCCCAGCTTTGAGGAATCTGTCTCCAGGAAACAACTGCCCCTGGAGCTGTCCCCAGCTGCCTGGCTGTGAAGTGCGGGCTTGTCATTGACACCAGGTAACCAGGCCACAGGGTGTCTCAAGTCTTGACACCGTGACCTCTCATGTCTTTTTCAGTTTAGGCATTGCAGTGCTTTTGCCTCAGACATAGTCGTTGTGTACAGAGCTGAGGAAGGCTGCTCTAAGCACCTCCTCAGATGATTATCATCTGTTCCTGTCTCCTGGAAACAGTCCCAGCTTTGAGGGGTCTGTCCCCAAGAAAGGAGAGTCTCTGGAGCTGTTTTCAGCTTTGAGGGGTCTGTCCCCAGGAAAGGAGGGTCCCTGGAGCTGTCCCCAGCCGTCTGGCTCTGTAGTGCGGGGACGTCATTGGCACCTGGCAACCAGGCTACGGGGTGTCTCATGTCCCAAAGCCGTGACCTCACTTAAGTCTTTTTAAGTTTGGGCATTGCAGTGCTATTTCCACTGCAGCTGCTGCCTCAGACATAGGGGTTGTGTACAGAGCTGAGGAAGGCTCCCCTAAACTCCTCCTCTGCTCTGATGTGAGTGTTTAATGGACTGTTATGTTCTGCTTTCAGCAGCAATTATGTATTGACCAGAAAATAATGTTTTGTTTATTTAATCTGTAGGAGATTAAAGGATCCCAAGGAGGAGGTGTTGGTGATGTTAATGTAGAACTGAATGCTGCACCAGGTAATGACCTACTGAAGGAAATTAATAATCTCCGGGAACAGTATGAGGCCATGGCTGAGAAGAATCGCAAGGACGCAGAAGAACAATTCAAGAAGGCTGTAAGAAACATTTTCTCTTGATTAACCTATATTGAGTTTTAAATTCTCTTAAAGCTATACAGCTTCCTAACACAAATAAGAAGAACTTAAGAAAGGAGATTTCTAAGAGAGATATAATCAGGTACTTCCACCTGGCTGTAGAAGCCAAAAGCTGACCCAAAATGTTCTCGAGGAATTATATGTCCCACAAGGCCACTGAAAAATCCAAGAAGCTTCTGGGTAATGGACTGTTCTGACCGATCTAAACCATTTTGTTTTGACCCTGTCATCTTGACAATATTGTATTTTTAAAGGAAATTTAACAGAAGGAAGGATCGTGGTCCACTTTTGATATAAAGGAATTTTTCAAATATTCTTACTCATATTTAGCATTATTTACACAAATTATTTTGCTTACTTGAACTGATAGCTTTCACTTTTTTCTTTTCAATCCCAAGAGCGAAGGTTTGAAGAAAGAAATATCAACTGGAGTAGAACAAATATCGACCAGCAAGAGTGAGATTTCAGATCTGAAGAAGACACTTCAAGCACTGGAGATCGAACTTCAGTCACAATGGTCCATGGTACAGAATCAAAGGCTTAACACATAATGGTAGACAGTATGATTTTGTCCTTATAAAAGTTCCATGGTTTATGTGTTGATTTCTCGTCAACAGAAAAAATCTCTTGAAGAAAACTTATCACAAACAGAAGGGCAATATTGTATGAAGCTTTCCCAGATCCAAGCACAGATTGCTTCCATTGAGCAGCAATTGGCACAGCTCAGGGCAGACATGGAGTGCCAGACTGCGGAATATGAAGAACTGCTGGACATCAAGACAAAATTAGAGAATGAGATTGAAATATACCGCAGACTCCTGGAAGGTGAAAGGTAAGAAAATACATTGGAATGAGGAATGATGGAAATATAGTCTTCCTTGGTGTCTCAAGAGACAGAAGGACTTGCCATGCCACTGACATCAATATCATTGACAAGTTAAAGTTATGATGGCAGTAGTCAAGCCATTTTCCTACATAGTTACAGAACAGTGATTGTGTATTGTCAACCTTGAAAAAGAAGTTTGTTCCTGGCAAGATCACAGGTTTTAAAAAAGGAAAAAAGCCTGAAAAGGAAAACTAATGCAGTCACATCTAATAACTGACAAGCAACAGTATGCTGTATTACATTTTTGTTTTTGGGTTTAAATATACTGTATATTAAACTGTACTTTATATACTTTATATTAAACTGCTTTGCTGAAAAGCTGTTGATTACATAATAGCTTAAGCCGAAAACTACCCTAACAAATGAATGAGTCACAGGAGTACCTCATCTTCCCACGCTGACTGCTTTGTACAACTCTATACAGATTTTCAATCAATCAAGCAAACAGCTACTGCCAAGGTTATTTATTTAGAACATCATTTCTCGGGGGGCGTGGCTTGGACATGGCGGCGTGAAGACGCACACTTGAGGAGCTCTGCATCCCTTCGGCTATCATAGTGGACCCGTGGACTTTAATCCTCCCTCTCCGTGCATGTCATTAGAACGTGACACCCTGCAGCTGCCTGGGGACCTCGGACAGCCCGATTTACACCGCTTCTTCCTCTGCTCGGCCCTACCAAAGTTGCCACTCCAGGCCCGGCCTCGAACACCAGGTATGGAAGACAGGCACCCGCACCACCAGACAGGCCGCCTCCCGCTCTGAACCCATCGCCCTCTCCGATCGATACCCCAGTCTTCCTGAGCGGCACCCCCTCCCCTGAACATGCGCCTGCGTAGACTGAAACGAGAATTACACTCTCTTTGTTTGACCGATACATGGCGCTTTCGCAATCCTGATGGACGCGACTTCACCTACTATTCTCAAGTCCACCAGACCTATTCTGACCATGCCCCCATTCACGTCACACTAGACTTAGCAGGATCGAAATCCACCTGCTCTTCATGGAG